ATAGAATCCCATCTAAAAGACACAGAATCAATATCCAGGAAAGCGCTACCTAGAAAGAAAAGTAATAAGAATGTATATTTAATAAAGAAAAAACTCAGAGGAAAGTTCCTCAAATAAGGAGGAAACAAACTGAGAAGTACAGAACTATCATTAGAAATCTAACAAATACATTACCAATGTCCTGGGGTTTGCTAATACCCAGGAAATAATTAAAACAAGAGACTTGGCAGAAAATTGAATGAATGGCATGGAGAAAGGATTGAGGAAATGCCAGAGGATGCATAGTAAAAAGACAAAATTATTTACACAATGAAAGGTGAGGTAAGAACAGGCAAAGACAATCCAACATAAGGATAACAGAAATCTATGAAGGTAAGATTGATTAGGTAGACAGATAAACTAATACTCATGAAATGATGAGAAAATCAAAGATGCATGAAACACCAATTAGTGCAATGGAAACATCTATCTCCATGACCCTGAGATCGGAAAAACTAGCGGTGTTCTGTTACCACTACCAACATCCATGAAAAGAATCAAGTTAGAAGGTCCTGGATAGAGTGGGAGAAACATGTGGAACAAAACTCAAAATCGTAAAAAAGACCAGGCTTACTGGTCTCAACTAGACACTAGTGGAACCCCACAAGACAATGACCTAGTCTTTAGAATCAGTATAACTAATATCCTCAGAAATACTAAACAAAAGTGTTGTTGTTGTTAAGTGTTCGTGAGTTGGTTCCAACTCATAGTGATCCTGTACAGGGTTTCCAAGGAGCAGCTGATGAAAAGGAATTTGCATGTGTGTGTGTATAATTTTATACAGAGATAAAACCTGAATAGACAGAAAACATAAATCTGCAGATAGAAAAAAAAAGAAGAAGTACTAGATGCTAGAAAGAAAGGAAGACTTGTTTCCAAATAATCAATATCAAGGCGTATTCTTGTTAAGTTATTGAACTCCATGGAAAAGAATTATTCTTGAAGTCATCTACAAAGGGAAAAAAGCTAACTGAAGATTCCCCCATAGCACCATTCAACATAAAAAGGTAGTGGGCCAATGTCTACAAAGTTCTTAAGAAAATGTGTCCCAGAAATATTACACCTGCCCAAGCTGCTCCTTAGAAACCCTAGATAGGATCATCATGAGTTGGAACCAACTCAATGGCACTTAACAACAATAACAACAAAATTGTCATTAAAGTGCTAAAGCAACAGACAAACACTTTCAAACATGAAAGAATTCTGTAATATATAAAGAGGAGACCCTTCTTGAAAAATTCATTGACAGAGACATCGAGTTAACCATGTGAAATGAAATTTTAACTTCAGGCAGGAAAAAGCTGTGGTAAATATACTCATAATACAGAATGACAAAATGTAAACATCAAAATAAGGCTCACATGCTAAGGGACTTACAATTGCCGAAGAGAATTTCAATGTCATAAACTATGATAAATTAAAATGATGTCAGAAATATCAGGAAAAGGATGAGTAAGTGGGCCAGATAATCATTTCATTTCTCAATAATCTATGCTATCCAAACACCAGAATAAGCAAACTTAACCACAAGAGATAGTAGCTATAGTTCCTTAAATGGTTCCGAACTTGTGGCGTCACTTTGCAGACTAAGGAACACCTGACCATATTTTCAATTGCCAATCTATCTTGAAAGAAGTGCAGCCAGAATGCTCCTTAGAAACCAGGGAGGTGAGACTTCATCTCTCAGACTTGGGACATGTCATCAGGAGGGACCAGTCCCTGGAAAAGGACATCATGCTTGGTAAAGTGGAGAATCAGCAAAAAAGAAAAAGACCCCAACAAAACCAACTCAACAGCACCTAACAACAACACTGTGCATGCAGAAGTTGGGCAATGAATAAGAAAGACCAAAGAAAAACTGATGTCTTTGAATTATGATGTTGGTGAAGAATATTAACTATACTACGGACTGTCAGGAAAATGAACAAATCTGTCTTGAAGAAGTGTAGTCAGAATGTTCCTTACATGTGAGGATGACAAGACTTCATCTCACATACTTTGGACATATGATCAGGAGGAACCAGTCCCTGCGAAAGACCTCATTCTTGGGAAAGTAGAGAGTCGGTAAAAAAGAAGACCTTCAATGAGAGAGAATGACACAGTGGCGACAACAATGGGCTCAAACAGCAATGAGTGTGAGGCAGTATTTGGTTCTGTTGTACATAGGGTAGCTGTGAGTCCGAACTGACTCGGTGGCACTTAACAACAAAAATATTTCTTGTGATAAACACATTGCCTGGGACTTGGCCCTCTGAGACCTGGCCCTTCTTTAGTTTCACTTCAGTTTCTTTGTTTTCTGGTACATTTGCACAAAAAGAAGTGCAAAAAATTCTAATGCTACAAATAGTATGATCCCATTCTCTTGAAACTCCTTCTTTCTACGCATGTCCAGTCTGTCTAGATACCAACCTACCCGCTCTTCTCTCTGTAGAGAGGCACGTAACTGTCAGTCGGTCATGATGCTCATCCACTGATAATACTAGTATTTGTGGGGGGACGGATATGAGTGAGGGTTGGCGTTTTGCCTTACACGTTTATGTAAGAGGAACTTCCAAAAAGCTCATGGGGAAAAAACTCCATTATCTTTCCATTCCATTTTCCACGAACTTTTTGAAGCTTCCTCAGATTGTTTGAATTGTTTGTGATGAATATATACATTTTACTTAATAAAATGCAGCTGTTTCTTTAAAAAAAAAAAAAGTAAATCTATCAGGGAAATAGTAACATAAAGAAGTTGAAATGACAATATTAATATGAAGAAATTTTTAACTGAAGGTAAAAAGTATCATTAGGAACAAAGAGGTCCATTTTCTAGTAATAAAAGGTCTAACCACGAAAACATACTATTCACAAAAAATTATATACTGAATAACATACCTTTGAAATACATAAAGCAATAATACATAGAATACAGCAAAACCTGATGAATGGGCAACCACACTGGGAAATAGATTTCAATACATCTTTCTTAGGAATCAACAAATGAAAGTGACAGAAAGATATGTATGAAGATGCATATCACTGAAATAACATAATTACCAAGTTTGATTTTCTATTGTTGTTGTTGTTAGGTGCCATCGAGCGGGTTCTGACTCATAGAAAACCTATGCTCAACAAAACAAAATACTGCCACGTCCTGCAAACTTCTCACAGTTGATATTACACTTGAGCCTACTGCTGCTACCTCTGTGTCAACCCATGTCCTTGGTGGGGGTGGGGTGGGGAGGGTCTTCCTTCTTTTTGCCAACTCTCTACTTTATTGAGCACAATGCCCTTCTCCAGGGACTGGTTCCTCCGGATAACATGTCTAAAGTATGAGGAACGAAGTTTTACCATCGTGACTTCTAAGAAGAATTCTGACATACTTCTAACACAGACTTGTTCTTCTGGCAGTCCATGGTACTTCCCGTTTTCTTCAACACCGTAACTCAAACACATCAATTCTTCTACACTCTTTCTTATTTGTCGTCCAACTTTCACTTGCATATGTGGCTATTGAAAATTCTATGACATGGGTCAGGTGGACCTTAGTCTCAAACTGGTGTCTTTGCTCTTGAATACTTTAAAGAGGTCTTGTGCAGCAGATCTGCCTAATGTGATACGTCATTTGATTTCTTGACTGCTGCTTCCACGAGTGTTGATGGATGATCTGAGCAAAATGAAGTCTTTGACAACTTCAATCCTTTCTCCATTTATATGGATGTTATTTACTGGTCCAGTGGTAAGGATTTTTGTTTTCTTTACAATGAGGTGCAACCCATACTAAAGGGTTGATCTTTGGTTTTCATCCATTTTTAAGTCCTATTCACTTTCAGCAAGCAAGCAAGGCTGTACATCTGCCTTCCTCCAATTCTGATGCCACATTCTTCTTTATATAATCCAGCTCCTTGGATTATTTGCTCAGTGTACAGTGTACAGATTGAATGAGTACGGTGAAAGGATACAACCCTGGCATACACCTTTCCTGATTTTAAGCCATTCAGTAACCCCTTGCTCTGTTTGAATGACTGTCTCTTGGCATAATCACACACCTTAAGGAAATGAGTCACAGGACTTGGAGACTCAGGACAATGATCTCAGGAGACATCAAGGTCAACTGCCACACCATAGTCCCCAAAGCCAGTGTTCTACAGTCTAATCTGACGAGTAGAATGTAGAAGTCTTAAAAGCTCATGGGCAACCATCTAACGTGCAACTATTGGTCTCTCCACGTCCAGAGAAAGAAGAGTAAAGAAACTCAAAGATGCATGGGAAAAAATTAGTCCAATGGACTAATGGATCATGCAAATATCAGTTTTCATGACCGTGAATCCAGAAGAACTAGGTGGTGCCTAGCTATATTTATCAATTGCTCTGAAAGAGATCACATTAGAAACTCCTGGATAGAGTGGGAGAAAATGTGGAACAAAACTCAACATTATATAAAAAAAAAAAAAAAAAAGCCTGACTGGTTGGATAGAGACCGGCAGAACCCTCAAGACAATAACCCTTAGTCACCTCTCAGGCCTGGAACTGAACTCACCCCTGTGACTAAATTTTCAGCCAAACCATAAACATGAACAGTAACACTAGGGAGGTAAGCACCTCTGAGGAGAATTAACTATTTGAGGTCAAAAGGGCAACTGGAAGACAATGTTCAGAAGGTTTAGGAATGGAATCAGGACACAAAGGAAGGAAGCTGGGTAAGTGATACTGCATTGTGAGGGTTGCATCAATGATAAGAAACAAAACGTGTATGAACTGTTGAATGGAAAACTGCACTGCTCTGTAAACCTTCAGCCAATCTGCACACGGAAACAAGAGGTAAAACAAACATGATCATGGCTGATATCAATAAGCAAATCCAGAGAGATAAACTGAGAGTCCCAGGGAACAAGTTAGAAAACAGGTGCCAAGTCCCAGTCCTCTGCTTCTCCTCTGAGACCCTCATGCTCCCTGGAAGGAACCCCTGAGGTTCTTACCTCGTGAACAGCTCACACAGGCGGTGCAACGGTTGGTCTCGCCCAGGTAATGGTCAGGTGGGCACTGCTTCTGGCAATCAGTGGACTCCCGCGGGCATGGCAGCTGCTGGGACACCCCTGGAAAAAGAAGCAGAGAAGCTGCAGACAAGGCCACCACTCACACACAGCTCCACAGCCAGCCTGCAGACACAGCAACTCAAGTCTAGTGTTATAGATAGAGTGAGGTCTTCTGATAGGCAGGAGATGCAACACAGCAGAGGTGAAAGAGCTGGGTCCGGAACTTCAGGACTGCCACTTGCCAACTGCATGGCCTTGGGCCAGTTGTGACAGCCTCTATATTAAGATAATAATAGGACCCACCTCCCATCTTTGACATGAGGAGTAAGGGATTGTTTAAAGTGCTCATGACAGACCCAGCACACAGCAAACACTACAGAAGCATGGGTTGGTGTTATTCTTGACAAGGGTCCTGTTTTCATTGCAGGAATGGGAGTCATAAGTCTCTAGACCATGCTAAGTCTAATCCAGTGCAACTTTGAGGAGGGCAAACCACCCAACCATCCTCTAATAGCCCAGCAGGGTGGGCTCCCATTACACAGAGATGAGAAACACATGATGCTGACACAAATTGAACAAGACAAAGGAGTAAAAAGGAGTAAAGTGGGGTGGGGGGATGTCTGAAAGGCTTTTTGGCAGCCTTGTTCCACTCTCTTTCCATAATGTTCAGGTCTCGATAGGCCAGGATGAGCACATGACCCAGGCATGCCAATCAGAAGACTTCCTCCCTCCAGACAATTGGTTCAGACTGGACATATGACCCAAGCAAGCCAATCAGAGTTCTTCATCTTCCTAACCACTGTATACAAGTGTGTCTGTCTGTATGTGTATGCAATGTTTGTTGTTGTTGCTGTTAAGTGCCACTGAGTCAGTTCCGACCCATAGAGACCCTGTATAGAGTTTCTGAAAAGTGGCTGGTGAGCTTGAACGGCCAACCTTGCAGTTCAAACTGACTTTGTAGTCCAGCACATTAACCCACAGCACCACACCAGGACTCCTGTATGTATATATTAAGGGGGCTTTTAAAAGTTCAAGGAAAAATATCATTATATTTCATTCCCTTTTCCCACAAACTTTTTGAAGCATCCTCCTCTATATACATACACACATACACATATAACAAAACAAGGAAGAAATACTAAAAACAATTGCAGTCGCCATGTCTGTGACTGATCATGTGATCTTAACTGGTATTTAGAACTGCGTTCCCTTTGGCCTCAGCAAATAGCTCAGCTAGCCGTGATTCTTTACCAGGTGGGATAGATAATCCAAACCTTTATTTCTGAAGAATCCAGGCCATTAGTAGTCGTATCAGAATTGGGTTGCTGTAGTTTTCCATTGATATTAACCAAAGGTATGGTAGTACTAAGAGATGTCCTAAGGGAATCGCCTGTATTCCAGACAGGAATATCTTACCTCTGTGATGCAGTATCAATCCAATTCCCCATTGGTTATTAGAGTCAATCACACCAGTCAGCACGGTAACTCTTTTTTGACTGTTGATCCAGAGGTATGAGGAACCCAAAGTGACCGGGTGGCATTCTTAACTTCCAGTTCAATTAAATCAGTGTTGGAAGCATTCTTCCCTTTGGAACTAAGATGGCTAGACCCACAGAGCATAGGGTTTCAGAGAAAAGAAGCAAAATGTTGCAAGCAGGTGACTACTAGGAGTAACAGTGAGTGGTGCCGTCCCCATGCCCATCCCTTGGTTCCTGGACCCATGCCTCCTGGCTATGAGAGAAGCAGCACCAGGTAATTGGATTCTGACTTCAAGCATAAACAGCCTTTTGGAGACAATTTCCCCAAGCTTGCAAGGTATGGCCACCTAGCTAGCACAATTATGATGTCATTAGGTCATTCCATTGTTCTAGCAAACCAACTGCTTCAGGATGATGGGTTGTGGTTGTTAGGTGCCATCAAGTCAGTACTGACTCATAGTGACCCTATGCGCAACAGAACAAAACACTGCCTGGTCCTGGGCCAAACTCACAACTGTTGCCACACTTGAGCCCATTGATGCTGCCACTTGGCCAATTCATTGCACTGGGGTTCTTCCTCTTTTTCTCTGACCCTCCACTTTACCAAACATGGTATCTTTCTCCAGTGACTTGTCCCTCCTGACAATATGTCCGAAGCATGAGAGCCGAAGTTTGGCCATCCTGGCCTCCAAGGAGCACTCTGTCTGCACTTCTTCCAACACGGATCTGTTTGTTCTTTTGGCAGCCCATGGTGCTTTCAATATTCTTCTCCAACACCATAACTCATGATAGGTAAGACCAGTGAATTCCAAAGCATGGACCCACTGCTACATTTCATTTGTTCTGAAATGAGGTCCTTGATCAAAGGTAATGCTGTGTGGGTACAGCATGACAGTGGATAAGCCATTCTCTAAGTCCACAGATGATATTTTTGGCAAAATCATTGTGTGCAGGAAAGACATATCTGTATCCAAAGTAAGTGTCTTTCCCAGTAAGAGCAAAATACTACACTTATCATAATGGAAATCGTCCAGTGTAATCAACCTGCTACCACGTTGCTAGTTGACCATCCCTAGGAACAGTGGTAGGTCTGGGACTCGGTGTTGATGTCTGCTGCTTGCAGATTGGGCACTCAGCAGTGGCTGTAGCCACATTGGCCTTGGTGAATAGAAGTCCATGTTGCTGAGCCTATGCATAACCTCCATCCCCACCACCATGATCATTTCGCTCATATACATTGAGCATTGATGGCAGTGACCGATCAAGTGAAGGAATGGATTGAGAGGTTGTGACTCTCCACTCTGCTGATTCAAATTAGACTGCTGTTCACTTGACTTAGACTTCCTCCACTTGTACAGATAAAGCAAATAGGTAGTAGGTTTCCCCTCTATTTCACTCCTAGGGACACCACGTCTATGTAGACAATACCATAAACCCATACTAGTCAAATTATTCTAATTGCTGCTTTGAGTCTGCTGTTCATTGTGGCAAACATTCCTTCCTGTCTTTATCAATTAAGCACCACCACTTTGTCCTGCTATGTACAAGGTCGCTATGAGTCGGTACCGACTTGATGGCACCTAACAACAACAACAAGTGTGTCCCTATTCCCACAGGTTCCAATTGGTGGTAGTGGTTATGGACCATGGAGTTGGTTCTGACTCACAGTGACTTCATATAGGGTTTCCAAGGCTGTAAATCTTTATGGGAGCAAAAACTCCATCTTCTTCTCACAGAGTGACAGGTAGATTTGAACTGCTGGTAACCCACTATGCTTATCAGGGCTCCTACAGACTCCAATTAGCCCCACTGTAATTAGGTGTCTTAATTCAGTTTCGTCAGTTTCTACTGTCAAATATGACTTACATAAAATAGTAATCATAGCAGTCTTCATGGATACTGGGGCTCCCTTCACAAGTTTATTCCTCACTGTTGTGGTACAAGGTGTATCCTCTGGGATAAATAAATCCATTCTAACATGCCAACTTTCCTAAGCCTTTATACCTTCTTCCATACTATACGAAGGCAGCTCTGTGATTTCAACTTGACATAGTGTAGGCCAGCACTTAATCCATGCTTAAATGAACCAACCAAATAAAATTCAGATCTTTTTCTGACCTTTTAAGCTGAAACTTTGGATACAGAATCTGTGTCTAGTGCGTCCATATCAATAAACTCAGATTGATTAACTTTATGTTCCTGATACCATTATCCCCCACCCTAAATAGCCATCCCCAAACGTGTTCTCCAGATTTCTGTTTGTATATATATTTGAAAAATCCAGCCGTTCTTGGTTTTTTCCTAATATATACAAAGGAGTGTAGCTTACTTCCTCCTGGGTCACACTTAGTACTTCACTTTCTGGGATTTGCTGGGACTTAAGTCTACTTAACCACTGCACTACCAGAGCAAAGCCGTTTGTTTGAACTACACACTCGGTGGTTCAAGCTCACCAATCACTCCTTGGAAACCCTATGCAGGGTCTCTATGGGTCGGAACCGACTCAACGGCACTTAACAACAACAACAAAGTCTACTTAAATGGGGTCCTGGTGTGGCGCTGTGGGTTAATGCGCCAGACTGCAAAACTGTTTGAACTGCAAGGTTGGCAGTTCAAGCTCACCAGCTGCCCCTTGGAAACCCTATACAGGGTCGCTATGGGTTGGAATTGACTCAGCAGCACTCAACAACAAGTCTACTTATAGGTTTAGAAGCCAAAATGGGTGATGGGGATGGGGATGGGCACATTCAGCAATGTCTAGTAAGGCATCTGCCTCAGGAAATGTTCCAGACACTGTCCCAAGTGAAGTCTCAGATAAAGACTCTTCCGGTACAGCGAGGATAAGCTCATCAGGGAATGGCAGGGATAATGATTTTACTGGGGAGGGTGTCTTAGCAAACAAAGATGGAGTAATCTCTTCCAATAGGATTAAGAGAGCTGGTGCTGTTTACAAAAGTGACTCAACAGAATTTAGAGGCTCAATGTCCTCAGTTTCTTGATTATCTGCCCATATGTCTCCAGCCCTGATGTGGTGCTATGGGTTAATGCACTGGACTGCAAAGTCAGTTTGAACCACAAAGTCGGCAGTTCAAGCTCACCAGCTGCTCCTTGGCAACCCTATACAGGGTCTCTATGGGTCAGAAACCAACGTGACGGCACTTAATAACAACAGTGTCTCTAGCCCAAGTTTCAGGATCACATTTCTTCTCAATCAATGCCCTCACTTTAACTTCAGACTCCATTCAAGGTTGAGAATTCAATTGTCATTGCAATTCAGCCCCTCTTACAGTAAGCCTCTGGGTTCAATTTTCAGCAATGCTAGCTTGGTTACTACAAAAACTAAGGCTTTCTTCAGAGTTCAAGTGTCAACTTTCAGTGGCACAACTTCCCGAGTCATAGTTCATGCAAAGTGGCCACTTTGATTGAGCTGTGAGTCTGAAGGCCTGAGTGCTTCTCTTTCCTTCAACCACTTTCGTTTAGCAAAAGCTGATCAACCAACCAGCCTTCTTATACATCTCAGTTTGACAGAAATGCTGAAAGGTGTCAAATACACAAGCGCCTTGTTTCTCACATCTATTTAAG